CCAAAATTGCGGGCGTTGGCGGGCACTTACCACCCACTCACTCTCAAGTTCATGGGTCCTTACAGTGCTGAAGCTACTGAGCCAGCTCCTGCCAAGCTCGGAAGGGCAGAGGTGGTAGCACTGGTGCGCACTCCCATCCTGGAAGGCTCTGGCCTGGGGATAAATGACCTGACTGCCCCCGGGGAGGTTAGCACTTGGAACCGATGTCACCACGTCGCTGAGACGTGGTGAAATGGAGCACCCAACCTCTCTGAACAAAGGACTGATGTGCTGGGCCATTTTATTGTTCCATATGCATTTTTTTTTGAGGATCCTTCATGGTTTTTCATAAATGACTGTATTGATTTACATTCCCACCAACATTACACAAAGATACCCTTTTCTGCACACCCTGTCCCTCCTATCTCGTGTCTTTTTGATCATAGCCACCCTAATAGGTGTGGTTTTGATTTGCAATTCATTGATCATTAGGAATATTGAAGACCCATTTGGATGTCTTCTTAGGAAAAATGTCCATTTGGATCCTTTGTACTTTTGCTAGTAAGGGATGTGTGGATTTTGTGGTTTGTTTATGGCTCCTAAATTGTGTGTGTGAGCCCTTTGTATATTTTGGATATTAACCCTTTATCAGATGGTTGGCAAATATTTTCTTCAGGTCAGTAGGTTGCCCTTTCACTGTTTCCTGTGCTATGCAGAAGCCTTTTAGTTGAATGTAGGGCTACTTGTCTATTTTTAGTTTTGTTGCCTGTGCTTTTGTGTCAAATCCAAGAAATCATTGCTAAGACCATGTCAAAAAGATTTTCCTCTGTGATTTCTGAGTTTTAAGCTTCAGATGTAATCCATTTTGACTTTTGTGGATGATGTAAGATAAAGGTCCTCTTTTTATTTATTTATTTTGGTAAGTGGATATATGATTTTCTCTTCAGTTATTGAAGAGATTATTTATTCTCCATTGTGAATTCTTGGCATTCTTCTCAACCATCAGTTGTCCTCATATGCATGGAGTATTTTCTGGATTTTCCCCCCCATTGATCTGTGCTTGTTTCTCATGCCAATATCCTGCTGTTTTAATTTTGAAGTCAGGACAAGTGATGTCTTCAGCTTTGATCCTTTTCAATTTCTTTGGCTATCTGGGATCCTTTATTTTCTATTGTAATTTCTATTTCTGTGCAAAATCACATTGTAATTTTGATAGGGATGTCATTGAATCTGTACATTGCTTTGGGTGCTATAGCATTTTAACAGTATCAATTCTTTCAATCCATGAACACGAGATACTTTTGCATTTATTTGCATCTGCTTTAATTTATCATCATTATAATTTTTCATTGTACCAGTCTTTCACCTCCATGATTATTTTTTTCATTTCTAAGTATTCTATATCTATTATTTTTGATGCTATTGTGAATGGGATTATTTTCTTTTCAGAGTTCATTGTTAGTGCATAAAAATAAAGCTGAATTTTGTGTGTTGATGTTGCATCTGTTCAGTGTGCTGCATTAATTTTTTATTTATGTTTTGTTTGTGTTAAAATATATGTGTAGGAACACACCTACACATATATTTTAACACTTTACTTAATGTATGCTAAACTGATCTTCTGTATATAAAGAGAATCGAAAATGAATCTTGATATGAATGGAAGGGGAGAGGGAGTGGATAAGGGGAGGGTTGTGGGTTGGAGGGATGTTATGGGGGGGAAGCCATTGTAATCCATAAGCTGTACTTTGGAAATTTATATTCATTAAATAAAAGTTAAAAAAATATATATATGTGTAGTCTTTACAGTTTCCTATACATAAGATCATGTCATCTGTAAACAGACACTTGCATTTCTTCCTTTCCAATTTAAATGACTTTTTATTTCCTTTTCTTGCCTTCATTGCTCAGGGTGAAATTTCCAGTACTATGTTTAAAATAAATTTATAGAGTCAGCATTCTTTTCTTTTTTCTGTTTGCAGAGTAACAGTTTTGTTTTTCATCAAGATGTCGGCGATTTTTGTCATATTTCCCTTTATTATGTAGAATATATTACCTTTATACAAATTTGGTAAGCGCATTTATTATGAAGGGATGGTCATCCATTTGTTTAATTTTTAATTATTTAGTCTAGAACATTGTATTTGGGCATTGTATTACATGCAGCTCAGAGGCTTACATATGTGCTATTTTCATTATATTTACTTTTCAGGTACTCTGTAAGTTTGGGTTTGATTTTCTTGCATGAGATATATGCCCATATGAACTTTCCTTTTTTTGATTTTGTTGTGGTCTTTCTGCATTTTCTCATCTTACTATTTTGCGATAAGCATTGTCAATTGTTCTACTTTTAGGAAATTAAGGTTTCTCTCCTTCAGAAACCTTTCCTATTTTGCTTATTAAATGGTTACAAATACTTTTTTAGTCTGTTGCACGTTATAATTTTGCTTATACAAGGGCTTTTCCACTTATAATTGTGTTACAGTCCAACAAATCCTTCAAAAGTTGAGAATACTGTAAGTTGGAAGTGCGTTTAATACACTTAACCTACCATCACTACCACATGTAGCCACATCCCATGTGTTTCACTGTGAGAAATCAAATGTTTACCTTTGTGAGTGCATGGTTGACTGGTTGCTATGGTTGCCAGGAGCCCAGGAATTGATCAAAATTTAAAGTTAGAGGTATTTTTTTTCTGAATATGTATTGATATTTGCATCATGGTAAAACTGAAAAATCCTAAGTCAAATCATACTAAGCTGGGGATCGTACTCTCTTAACATATGAGATATTTTGATGTATTCTTTTCTCATTGGTTTTCATCATTTGAGAGCTTAAAAGGATTTTCTCAGCTAAAATCAATATTTTTCCATTTATGTGAAGTCTGTGTAGTTTTATTTTTTTCATTTTTACATTTAGGTTGATGTAATGTCTATATTGCTTCACTTTGGAAAGCTGTGAGTTAGAAATGCTACTTCTGGTTTTTCAAAACAGCTAAACAGTTCTAGCAATATTAGTTGTAGGCTAGTCCGCCCTGTTAGAACCTTAAACCTGTTTTCTTCAATGTATAACAGAAAAGTTTTACTGCTTGTTCACTGTTTAGTGTTCAGACTTTTTCCTATCAACACTTTATAAAGAAATGAAAGTACCATATTTAAGTGTTTGTGTTTTGAGTAATACCATAGAGTCCAAACTGATTAACACTTTAATTATTGAAAGTTACTATAGGAGGTTTTCAAAATGAACAACCTTAGTTTTTTTGTAAACAGAAGACTTTTGAACTTCATCCCTAAAAACAAAATAAGTCTGAAATGAGACTCGGGAATTTAGTCAAGCAGCTCAGGTGCTTCATACATAGCTTTTCAGAAATGAACCACACCTTGAAAAGTTACATTCCACGATATAAATCAGTTTCAGAAACATTACTGAGTTACTGACACAAACAGGCATAGCTGAGAATGGAACTGGCAATTTCATGATGCCTGATATTCACACAAAGATGTGATAATATCCTTTTTTTAAATACATACTCTTTTGATTGATGATGTAGTCTCTACTTTTTTTTTTATCACAGCTAGTGGTGTGTGTGTGTGTGTACATGTAATTGGTTTCTTCAAAGTGTATAGCATTCTCTTTTTTCCCTAATCATTTATGTAGCTTACTATAAGTTCAAACTTTATGTTCAAGTTACAATAACAAACTGTGGCAAGAGTTTAGGAATAATGTAAAATCTCAGTTTTATTTCTAAATTGTAGATAATGATAAATATAATGAAAAACCTCACAGCAACAAGAGAATCCTGAATGTTTACAGAAAAACAACTACTTAAGTTATTGTCATCCCTAAAATTATACTAAGAAAACATAGCACATAAATATTGCTAAAGAAAAGTACAAGTTTTTTGACTTGGAATACTTGGCTAAATCAATTCAAATATAATGGATTCCTTAATTTTCTTAAAAAAGTAATGAATATATAGATAAAAGAAAATTCCAAGAATTCAGTCTCTTCCAGTAACTACTTAGGATAAACTTTGTACTTCTAATATTTGGAGTTTGACATCAACTTTTCCTAATACTTACACTAGCAGACTTTGAAATATAATAAAAGATAAAAAGGTTGTACTTTGTACTTACAGTAAAAAAAATTTAGAGTATAACACAAATTGCTTAGAAAGTCATGCCTAATTTTTACAAAAAATTAAGAGGTTATTTTAATCTGATGATGATCATTACTTGAGCCAGGGGCTCCTATTCTTTTACTTCAGAAAATGTAGCTCTTGTACAGTATAAAATGACTTAAAAATTCCATGAGAAATGGAGCTAAAAGATAAGTTTATTTTGGCTCAGAAATTTAAAATTCATAGTTCTTCATAATAGGCATTTTCATGTTTTTTTTAAGATCCTATCATCTGCATGAATTTGAAAATTTTATACCAAAATAAAACTTGTCTTTTAATTCCATTTTCTGCAGACTTTTAGAAATACACAATGGTGTTTTTTTCTTCTATTTGTTGAACTCTTTACTTAGTGTAGAGTTCATCTTATGAGTATAAGTAAACTGAAAGTAGATCATTATAAAAGCTAAAAGAGGGAATAAGAGAGGAAGGAGGGAAGCGTAGGGTAGGAAATATCACTATGTTCCTAGATCTGTACTTGTGAAATATATGAGATTTGTATACAAAATTTAAAAATAAATAAATAAAACAATTATAAAAGTATCTTTGGTTTTTCTGATGTAAACTGGTCATTAATAAGCTTTAAGACATGCTTACCTACAAAAAAAAAATCCCCTCATACATGTCCAAAGAGGTCAAAGAGTTTATTTAGATACAGATAGATCATATCTATGATTTCTAGGCAAGACTCAGGTATCGTGAGAAGAGACTGGTATATTTTCTAGCTCATGACAATTACTATTTATTACTAGAACACATCTGTCAGAGAAACTCAATTCTATCCTAGCATTTTTTCTTTTCTCATTAACTTCATGGGTATTTAAAATCAAGATGAATTCATGGATAAGTTTTGTAAACAGCTTTTATTTCATTAGCTTTGGATTATGTCATAAAAAAAAACCCTTAAAATTCCATTGAGGGAAATAAATTGGACCTTGCAGAGAATACAAGCCTCATAAAAGACAAAAGTTTTCTGGGACACAAAGGTATATAACACATTGTCTTTCTTTCTTTCTTTTTTTAAAGATTTATTTATACTTGAAAGTCAGAGTTGCAGAGACACAGAGGCAGAGAGAGAGACAGAAACCATCTGCTGGTTCACTCCACAAATGGCTGCAGCCGTCAGAGCTGAGTCTATCTGAAATCAGGATCCAGGAGCTTCTTCTGGGTCTCCCATGTGGGTGCAGGGGCCCAAGGACTTGGGCCATCTTCTACTGCTTTTCCAGGCCATAGCAGAGAGCTGGATCAGAAGTGGAGCAGCGGGACTGGAACTGGTGCCCATATGGGGTGATGGCACTGCAGGCGGTGGCTTTACCTGCTGTGCTACAGCGCTGGCTCCAACACACTGTCTTTCTAGAACTACATATATTCAAAATGAAGGCTTCAGTCACAACATTTATCCTCTTCCTTCAATGGGGTAAGTGATAACACACATATTACACATCTGCCTTCAATTGCCCAGGGATTACACTTGAACGTTCACAGAGACATACATGACCTGGTTTCTTTCACAACACATAAAATATAAACTGGGTTTATGTGTGTGTGCTTTGAAACAATTTATTTCTTGACAAATATGATTATATATTTGAAAATACTAGTTCTAGTGAGACAGAATTGGAGCAGTAACGTCAATTAGCCCCACAGCTATAAACATGAGCACAGGAAGAAGGGCAGAGAGAAGACCAAACATTCCTGTTTACTGTTTCCAAGTGTTAGCAACTGGATCCAGAGGAGCTCCCATAACTCAGGGGAGAGTAACTGAGTAATTAGGGAGAGTACTTCAGTATGTTTAAGAGGAGTGACCACATGTCAAACCAGCCACAACTGTTGGGATTATAGTAAGGATAACAATTTTATATGAAGTACCAACCCTTTGAATAAAAAAGGAACTGCCAGCCTTCGTGGCAGACATAGTCTAAAAACCTCACTGCAAAGTAAGCATGGAACAGGGAGACAAAGATACAGGCTCAACATGACCGTAACACTGCAAGTACAGATTTATTACCTCCTCAACACTCACCCCAAAAACTACTACTTGGAATTCCACCATAGCCTGAGGAACCGCCATCAAAGAAGGCCCTGTGAAAGGACATAAATGTCGTCCTCAATATGATGGCAACAACACCACAAGCCTAAGTGACGTCTCCTAGGTTGCAGAGCCACGAGGGCACTTTCCCATGCCTTCCATTTTCAAGTGGTGAGATGGTGCTGCTCTAACAAAGGGCACCCCTGGGAAGATTCACCTTCCAGGGTATCCTCCACACCCCATCCTTTGGAGCTCACTCAGAATCCAGGCAGGCAGAAAAGCAGCAGGGACCACATCAACAACACTGAGATTTGCTCTCTGCTCTCAAGGTCTCCTGATCCAGTTTAATTTTGCCCACATCGTTTTCTTCATTAGGAAGGCTTTGGTGGTTTGCAAGGATATTCTCCACTAGGAACCGTGCGGCTTCATCTATGTTTATGTTATCCTGTAATGCAGAGGGAAGAATGGATCAATTCTAGATGAGTTCTTAGAGGAAAGCAATAAGCGTATTACAGGCAAGTGGACTAATTTGTCAGAGGGTCCAATATAATTTACCAATCTCTTCAATAACACTAAAGTGTTTGCTTACTGAGAGTTCAAAGCTACTGGCTAAGGTAGCTATGGACAGAACCCTCTCTGTTTTCCAGAAACACCCTTTCTGGTGTTCCTGTTTTCAGTTTTTACCTCTGAACTTCAATTAGCTATCTTGATGAATAAAAACGAAATTTTCACTCTGTTCTGGGTTGCCACTAAAGGAAATCACTCAGACTGAAAAATTCATGCTCATCCAAGTATTTAGGAAGCATTGCCATGGAAAATGTGAAAAGGCTAACAACACGTTAAAATATGATAAATGTGCCATATTGCTACTCTGTCTTTGAGTACAAAGTCTTACTAACATTTAGTCATCTCTCATAAATTAGCTTAAAACTATGACGTCCCTCTGATGTGCACTAATGATCCCCTAAGAAATTATAAGGTATCATAGCACATTTGAGACTGATTATTAAGTCATGATTGAATATGCACAAGTAATACAAAGCAAAAACTGTTTATTTTTAAAGTCATTTCAATGTTTCACTTTTAACTAGTTTCAGATTAACAAAAACATTGCAAAATTAGTAAATGAATTCTTACATCACAGGTAACCAGAGTACAACTATCAAAATCAGAAAAATTAGAAAATATTGTAGTATTGGATAACTGTTAACTTTCAATCTTATGCAAATTTCACCAGTCACCTTAATGCCCCATTTCTCACCCGGGATCATGGTCTGTATTTTGTTGTGAGGTCTCCTGATCTCCAACTGTTACTTAGCCTCCTGGCTTTTATTTTTTTGGAGGGCAATGGCCAGAGAACATCTTTCAGTATAGATCTGCTGGATATTTTCTTATCATTAAATTCAAGTTATGGATTTGTTACCAAAAAAGACAGGTGTGTCATGTCAAAAAGACAGGTATGTCATGTCAAAAAAGACAGGTGTGTCATGTCCTTCTCAGTGTAGGAAGTTAGTTACTGAAAGTCTTACCTGTTGGAATTCTATTGTTAGGAGGAGATTCTCTTTTCTGCATACCTACTCATTTGTTTGTGTATAACATGGGTTATTATGAAGCCAATTATAAGCTAATTTGCTTTGTTGCTTAAGCTGTCATAGATTTTTGGAGCTCCTGTGAGTAGGCTCCCAGTGTTTGTGACATGTCTTTGTCAGTTTGCAAGTGTTTCCTTAGTTTCTGGCTGCACAAAATTCCAAGGCACATCTTCACTATCTGTGCCATCAGTCATGGATCAGGTGTTTCTCCAGGGCTTCAGGGTTCTTTTTAGTAAAGAATGGTATTCAAAAATATATTTCTGCAAACTACACAAGTTCATTTGTTTGGTAGTTTTGTGGCTTCTAAGCTGTTTCAGCAGATACCACCTGGCCAATATTTGCATTTATGCATCTACACATTTGTATCTCCTTTAGCTGTCTATGTATACACACATGTGTATATATGTGTGTATGTATATCTATGTGTGTCTTTGTATACATGTATATGCAAATTATGCATATATATATTAAACTATGTATATATAATTATAGATGTAGATATATGAAACTTTGAGCTCATAGTGATATCTCCAATCTTACACTATGGTTTCACCGAATTCTCCCTTATTTATAATACACTTTTCAGACAGTGAGAAACTTCGAAGAGCTATACCATTTATTCACGTATCTGTCAAAGCATCAACAAAAATTTTTTACCTCCATTTTCAAGATTAGCATCAATATTAATTCAATATTGATCTTTGAATTTCTAAGTTAATTCTGTCCCTACCATCACCATTGTGTGAAATAATCATAAAATATTTTAACTACATATAGTGTCAAAGGATTATGAACAAAAATTCTCACATTGTAATGAAATTAACCGCAAATTTCATATCGGACATCCAGTCAAAAGACCATCAAAAAGTTTAAGGAAAATTGCATATATAATAAAATTATGCATGGGTTTCAAGTGTTCTTTTGCATCAAAATAAATCTATCAGTTTATTTCATCTTCCAACAAATTTGGCTAAGTTCCTACAGGAACTCAGAACCTTGGAATACAACTAAAAATCTGATTACGTTAGCACTGAAAGCTCAGAAAATAGAATTATCAGTGACCTTAGGCAGTACTTTAAAATTTAGCTTAAAAACTTTCATGAAATTTTATTATTATTAGAATATGTTGGAACATTCTTTATATATTATTAAGAAAACTCTACAGGAGCCATTTCTTATATATTTGTAGGGAAGCACAAACAGACCTAAAACTTTGACTCTTGTTCAGTGTTTCCCTCTCATTTCTACAGGTGATCTTGGCTATAAAGATAATGAAGCTTACAATTCACACAGGTTCAGGCTACAGCTAAAGTGACGTCAGCAGTTATGAATTTTATATATAGGCTCTTGGGGAAAATTGATTTATTAATTACCTGAGAGATCAATTCAAACTGAAAGAGGAATTTTATCTGCAATATAGAAAACTTTTTCATCAAACTGCATGATGACACAAGCATTTACATAAATTGTTCCCCCAAAAGCTGAGAAGTAAAGCAAGATATCCAACAGACACACAAGGTGGACAGAGCATGGCTGTCTTGGAATACAGTCCATACACACAAAGCAGACAGAGCCCTGGTGTCTGCAGTATGGTCTGTCTCTGTGGGAAGCTTCTCATTTGGGGATTTTCTCCTTCTAGCCTTGCTAAGAGTTCACATTGCATCTCAGAGCTTCCTCTGTCATCCACCACCAATTTTTGTTTATGGCAGTAAATTTTAAGATGCTACCTGTATAGAAACAAGCAGTCACTAGCTTAGGAGTACATAATTCTTGCTAAAGGAGACAGTCGTTGTTTCTAATGATTCCATCACTGCCCAATATCTTTACACTACTCTTGCGCAGTCTCTGCTTATAGCATTCTTATCACCACTGTCATTAAAAAAAGCAACTTTCACTTCTGGGGTTTCTAGTAAAAGTAAAAGTAATCGCGAAGTAAGAACAGTAATACATATATGTATGTATACAAAAGAAATCCACAAATTGCATAGCAAAAGCTGGAACTGCATTATGCTTACACCACATTTATAGCTTAGTGTTTATTTGAAATCACAGAATTTCTCAGTCATTCCCTCAATCTTACCTACACCTGATTCTTTTTTACCCTTTTATATGAAATATGCAGAATATAAACACTATCATACACTGCCCCCCACACCTCGTATTTTGTACTCATTTTAACCTTTTCTTTCATAAATAGCAAAATTAACATTTTGATGCTACCTTCCTAGGTTTCTTCCTCTGGAAAAATATTTTGACCAGCTTCACAAAATGGATAAAAACTTTTCAACTATTCATAAAGAAGCATGCCACAAATGTTGGCATTTTCCTCATTCAAACCTTTCCTATATTGTTAATCTAAGCAACATCTGAATACATCTCTCTGATCATTGCAATGCCTTTGTTAGGCCAGTGTGTGACAGACTTCTTTGCCAGTGGCATCTTCATGTATTTCATCAAGTCTTATGTGCAAATTTAAAATCCTTGTGCTTGACAATACACCTGAAACCCATATACTCCAGAAACATGAGCAGTCCCTCAGCTAAATAAACTCAAAGAATATGGAATTTGTACTTTGCTTTGAAAAATAATTCAGTTTTATTCTAATGTCAAATCTACCCTTCTGTGCACCTCCCCATTAGCCAATGTACAAAGCAATTCTGCCACAGGTTGAAAGAAGCTATGCCAAATCAATGCTAGTCTTTGCTTTTCCTAGACTTCCTAAAGCTACCTATAAATTCTTCATAGCCCTAGCTCTGGATTACAAGGTAAACACACAACAGCAGATTCACAAGGAAAGCAGATCTCACCTTTGCTGAGGTTTCAAACCATCCAGTGAAGCCATGCTCTTTGCAGAACTGGTCCATCTGGGGAGGATTCTGGCCACCCTCCCTTTTCTGGTCACATTTGTTAGCCAGGAGCACAGCGGGGATAGCGCTGCCATTGGGAAGGTGAACTTTACTGTCCAGGTCACTTTTCCATTTTAAGACCGCCTCAAATGTGGAACTTCTTGATATATCAAAGACTACAAATGCACCCACAGCTTCCTTGTAATACACTCGGGTCATGTTGCCAAACCGCTCCTGCCCTAGAAATAAATATCATGAGAGATTAAAAATGTCTAGTTCTGACACAGTCTTATTTAGTTACAGCCCCATTGACCCCAAGGATAATTCTGTAGAGAATTGTTTCCAATTCCATGGCAACATTAACTGTTGGAGTTAATGTCATCTCTGCAGACTCATCACCCATAAAGCCAAAATGACGGATAATTTCATCTGAGTCCACAATGAATCGGTTCTGTTCATGCCCGACCCATTCTCCATCAACATCACTATGACAGACTGATGGCTACAAAAGCCTATCATTTATTCCTCCTGAGGGGCAACAAGGGAAAAAGAAGGCTGGTTGTGGAGGAAGAGACCAGAAAAAAAAAAAAAAAAAAAAGAATATGGAGCTGCAGGAAGGAGATAAATGCAATGTGTAAAATTCTAGTCAGATTAGGGCTGGAGAGGCGGTAAACCAGTTCCTGTCCTCAACTGATCTTTCCTTTACATCTCTAGCCTATATCCTCTATGACTCAATATACAACAAGACTGCTTTCCTTTGAGAAGCAGACACATGGAAGCCTACTGTTTGAGAACAAAAATGTGGGGCAATTGGTTGCACTATCACATGAAGGATCAATTACAGATCTTCAAATATAATTGTTTTTAAAATTATTTAAATTACAACATTTTGGGAACAATTTACTCTATCTATCATATGGGATTTGCAAAGCATTCTCTTACTATCTGCTATCATATTAATCTTTAACATAGGAAATAGTTTTATCTTCACATAACAACATTATGTGCAGATAATGTGTGGCCAGCGTGACAGTGGTACTGACTAAAGAAGATAGGGTGGAATACAGGTCTTCTGAGTTCCACAGGCCTATGGAAATATGATGTCAGCTATTCTGAACTGTTTTGTAGCAGCTCTGCCACCTAAACCTCTTCAGGCAGTCTACTTATAGAGATAAGGAAAAATGACTGATGGTCAATGCAAATCTAGATTTATAGCTCTTTGATCTAAGATAAAACAATGTGATAAGACACTTTCCTATCAAAACACATGATAAGAACAAGTTTCATCTCTATTTTATTGACATATTGTAATTCAAATTTTATTTGCTCCAATGCAAAACTACCCCAAAATATATTTTTCCTTTTGCAAACTCTATACTGTGTGGACTAAAGAAAGAATACAATAGTCAGCTTACAGGGATAAACTTAAAAGTTCATTTGTTTTAATGATAACTCCTAGTATGGATATATCTAAAACAATATTATGATAGTTTAAAGGTCTAAATTTTATTGTAACAAATATTCACATATGAAATCACACTGTCATATTCATCTTATCTTTTTCTTGGTACTATGAATCTTATCAGTCAATTGTGTAGTTCATTTATCATTTTCCATAAACATACAGATATTTCAACTCTTCAAAGCCAATATTACCATCAGGCAGATCAGATACTTTAATGTATTTGAATTCTAACTTCAACTACAGAACACCCATTAACAACTGCATCTATTTTTATGAATTTTGGTTCTTCATTAAATATGAAAAGATGATGGTCACAGAGAAAATACTCTCAATTAACAAAGTCATAGATTAAGAGATATTGAAAGATCAGAATTTCAGTATAATTACATAGTTATAAGAAAGGATTTTTGTACCACTGTCTTAACTTAGAGAAGAACTAGTAGAAGAAAAGTACAGGGGCTAGTATTCTGGTGTTTCGGGGAAGGCAGCTGCCTTCAAATCCTGGCTGCTCCACTTTCAATCCAGTTCCCTGCTAATGCACCTGGGAAAGCAGTAGAAGATGGTCCAATTACTCGGGTGTCTGCCACCCATGTGAGAGAACTGGAAGACGCTCCTTGATCCTGATTTTGGCCTGGCCCAGCCCTGGCTGTTGTGATCATTTGATGAGTGAACAACTGGACGGAAGATCTCTCTTCTTCTCCTCTCTCTCTTTAACTGTATGCTTCAAATAAATACTTTTTGTTTCTTAAAAAAGGGAAGTGCAGAAATCAAGAAGTTCCAAATACGCAGTAAGTTTTAGTGACTATTTTAAAGTAAATCTCAAGTAATTTCTTTCTACTAGCAACATTAAGTCATATTCAAATATTTCTCATATAAACTTTCTGGTAAAACATATGGCACTCAAAAATGATAAGAAAATTTAGTGGAGGATCCTTAGGCGTTGAAATATTAATTTTTCTTTAGATACTAACAAATCTGGGATTAAAAACTCTCTGAAAATCCTCACATCAGCCTGTACTTTATTTAGCAACCATAGTATGTGGCACATCAGAATCCTGTCAATTTAAATACAAAGACAAAATTTGTTTTGCTTCATGTGGTATGCGTGTGAAGAGTTAAAGCTTGCCACAATCTGGAATTCATCATAACTCAGGGGAATCCTCCTCTCAATGGGTCTGTTGAACTAGTTCAGACTAGCTCAGAGAGAACTCTAGGCAACAGTGGTATTCTTATAGTTGCTACTTACTACACTGGGAGGTACACCACTCATTTCACTCAAACTCTCTTATTTTATACAAGAGAAAATAAAGTCCAAGGAGATGAGTTGACTCATATTTTAAGCTCATGCATAGTTTTTTCATAATAGGCAATTTCTTTGAGCTCTCTGAAGAGTCCTTCAGACATCTAGTGGAATGGAGAACTGAGCACAGTGAGAAGACGGGTGTGGGCCTGGGTGCAGCAAAGCCAAGGGCAGAACAAAACTTCTCATCTTCATCTAGTGAAAACCTGAATCACCCATGGTACTTGACAGATTGCAACTTTACAGCCCCAACCTCTGGAAGTTATTTTAAATTAATTATTTGTATTTGCATTTATTTGGAGTGGAAGGGGGGGGGCATGTGCTGGTTCACTGCATAATGAGACACAATGGCTGGGCTGGGCCAGGCCAAGGCACGGAACCAGGAACTCAATCCAGGCCTCCTACAAGGGTGGCAGGGGTCCCCTGATTGAGCCCTCATCTGCTGTTTCCCAGGGTGTGCATAAGCATGAAGCTACTATCAGGAGTACAGATGGTACTCTAACCCAGCTGCTCCAATATAGGATGTGGGCATCCCAATTACTATCTTAACTACTCAATCAAATGCCAGCCCCTACTCCTGGGTATTCTGATTTGCTAGGTATGGAAGATTGCTAGTTGCCTATCCCAATATCTTTCAAGAGAATTTTATTTGGGGAGGCAAAGTGCTCAGCTTAAAACCAAAGCCTTAGATTTCCTAGCTGTCCTTGGGGCAAGGCATGTGCATTTGATTGGACCACAATGTCAAAGAACATGGCCTAGGGATAGCTGAATGGTAGGTGATCAGCCTTAGTCCATTTGGGTTTCTTGGTGTCCACCAGTTTTAGTCACCATCCAAGAGAAGTCTTCTAAACCTGTTACACAACTTAATTTCATTGACAGCATTCTCTCTATAACTCGGTTAACTAGGTGTGAACATACTCTCTATAACTTGTGTTAACAAGGTGTAAAACCCTCACTGTTTTAACACTATGTTATTCCTAGGCTACAACTCTAAGGCCTTTAAATTTTCTTCCTATGAAAGAGTACTTTGTCTTGACCTCAATCTATTTCCTTTTTTTATTTAAGATTTATTTATTTACTTGAAAGGCAGAGTTATAGAGAGAGGGAGAGACAGAGAGAGAGACCAATCTTCCATCCACTGGTTCACTCGCCAAATGGCCACAACAGCTGGGGCTGGGCCAGGCCAAAGTCAGGAGTCAGAAGTTTCTTCTGGATCTCTCACATGGGTGCAGCAGCCCAAGCACTTGGGCCATCTTCTGCTGCTTTCCCAGGCTGTTAGCAGGGAGTTGGATAGGAAGTGGAGCAGCCAGGTCTCGAACTGGAGCCCATATATGATGCCAACATCGCAAGTGGCAGCTTTACCTGCTATGCCACAGTGCTGGCTCCAATTTCAGTCTATTTCAGTATCTAGCAATACGTATTAATCATGTATTTTATTTTCTATATTGACAACTAGGGGTCTCATGGGCCTGGGAAGGGGTTGCCCTACAAGGGGTAGCAAATTTGTAGAGATAACATCTGTCCTGGGAGCACTCCTTGATATGCAATCCAACCAGTTCTGAGTCCCTACTGTCCTCATTTTTCATGTTGAAAATTTATGAACATTGAAAGGAAATGATAATATATATATTATATATATATATTTGATGTATAAAATTTCTAAAATATATTTGAAAAAAAAAACTACCTCCCTGGAATAATGCGTGGCATTTAGGTTTACTCAGTGAGGTCTCACAATCTATCTGTAATTATTGCTTGCCCATAGCATGCTATGCTCTGCAACCTTATACAGATAAAACAGGTTTGCTTTCATACAGAAAAAAAAAACACAGTGGAGAAACATTCTTCTCAAATGCACAAGAAATAATGGAGTCAATCAACAATGTCTGCCTTGGAAAGCCTATGCTTCACAAGTATGCAAACTATAAAAACTGGAATCTCTAGACTGATAATTGTAAAAGACAGTAATTGCTACAGTGAGCATAAAATATGAGTTACATGTTCTAATTTAGGAATAACCAGAACATTTGAAATTTAGAAAAGAATCTAATCTGCGTTGTTACTTTGATGCCAGTGAACTAAAAACCTGAATTTTCATTAAAAACTTACAGTTTTCATATCTTAGAATCATGAAACCCGTTTCCATACAGTGCCATTGATCACATGTTTGTTTGGTCAAGGTCCTACAGCTCTCTATTTTTAGACTATAGAATCTCTAAAAGCCTCTAATTGAATTCAGAAGGTAAAATGGTTAGGCAAATGGCTGAGCACAAAGACAAGTTTTAGATCTGCCTATCAGCACTGGACTCTCTCCTGCTGACAAGAGCGTGTTTTAGCTCACATGGGCTAACAAGCAACGAACAATGATAATATATTCAAAAGAGAAAGGCAATAGCCATATCAATATCAGAAGAATTTCTGTGAGCAGTTAATACAAACATGCTGCCTTGATGACTGGCTGCCTTGACTGGACAATAGTAAATTCATAGGTCATACTATGGCTCCCAAAGGTGTCTCATACTCAAGAACTAAAATCTAAAACAGGACAGTAAGAAGCAGGCATTGTGGTGCAGTGGGCTAAGCCAGTGCTTGGGATGCCTGTATCCCATTATCAGTGTACCTGGGATCAAGTCCTGCCTCTGCTTCCAATCCAGCTTTCTGCGAATTCACCTGGGAGGCAGTTGGGTCCCAGCCACACATGTGGGGTACCCTGATGGAGTTCCTGGTCTCTGGCTTCACTTAGCACAGACCTGGTTGTGTCAGACATTTGGGAATGAATCAGTGGATGTAACATCTCTCTCCCTCTTTCTCTCTGTGTCTCACATTCTTTCTGCCAGTATGTCTTTGAAATAAATAAAACCTAAAATAATAAAATCGGAAGTAACCTTTACTTGAAATTCAGCTCATCAACTGCGCTTAAAAAGGCTGAGGAGGGCAAGGCTCAATGAGCCACATCACCCCTACACAACAGAGATTGTAAAATATCTTTTAAATCAATGCATGTTATAGGCTACTAATAAGGATAAGGAATCTTATTGGACTATTCCCTGCTTAAGACAAAGACTATAATTAACCACAAGGACAACAGACAAGTACTGCTTCTTTATGAATAACTGCAGACTGATCAGGTTAGGAAAGCATCAGAGGGAAATATTCCAGATTGTTTCTCACAAAGGCTTATAGGAGAGTGAGGCGAGATGACAAGAGGGGAGACTTGCTATCATAATTAGCAAAATACAAGAAGGAGCAAGGAAATCAAGATCAACACGGCATTTTATAATAGGGCCAAAGATGGTGAAAAATGAATTTCAGTGCAGCTTGTACAATTTGTAATCTCTTCCAAGCATGCATTTTATACGTATATGAACTTCAGAGAAGATTATTTCCACGGTGCCCTTTGGCTCAGAGGAGTGTAACTCATTCAGATATTAAAGACCCGATGATCCTAAACAGGAAAATCAATCAATTCATGAGGACTAGTGCATATCATATCTGATCAAATTTAGTATGAGATTTAGCTTAGACAAGTATATGAGGTCTAAGTAGGCAAATTCACAAGATTTAAGATAGACAAGCAATTCAACCTGCTTGGAAAATCTTATTGCTGCTAATGAAAAATAAATTTCCAAAAAGTAGCAAACTAAATACTACTTTATCTGCATTAAACATTACAGGAGGATCAGAGACACCTCCTAATACATTTGTGAATGTACATGAATTAAGCTCTCTTTAAAATCTTATGCCGGCGCCGCGGCTCACTAGGCTAATCCTCCGCCTAGCGGCGCCGGCACACTGGGTTCTAGTCCCGGTCAGGGCGCCGGATTCTGTCCCGGTTGCCCCTCTTCCAGGCCAGCCCTCTGCTGTGGCCAGGGAGTGCAGTGGAGGATGGCCCAGGTGCTTGGGCCCTGCACCCCATGGGAGACCAGGAAAAGCACCTGGCTCCTGGCTCCTGCCATCGGATCAGCGCGGTGCGCCGGCCGCAGCGCGCCGGCCGCGGCGGCCATTGGAGGGTGAACCAACGGCAAAGGAAGACCTTTCTCTCTGTCTCTCTCTCTCACTGTCCACTCTGCCTGTCAAAAAAAAAAAAAAAAAAAAAAAAATCTTATGCAAGTATATTTAAGTTATGTGTTGAGTACCAGTCTCAAAGCAGGTATGAGTTAAGACAGCCACTGTTTTACTCCCAAAAAGCACTGACCTGCATCTGTATTTTAAATCTAAATTCCTTCAATGCCCTGAGAAAATACGTAAGGTCTGTTCCTTATGGTTTCTTAATCTGAAGAGTTTAGCTGAATCTACTTGGCTACATTTACGGTAAACTTCAACAACCCTTACCTATCACACTGGGAAAAATCCTCAAGAGTGGCAGAATGCCAACTTCCTTACAACCTTGTCCACTGCTAGTTACCACTGCCACCATCAACAAGAAACTACTAATAACTCCACCACTGGGTTAGTCATATCAACAAGCTGGCCCCACCTCCTGTTTCGCAATCAGGGATTATTTCTGTTCTGTGAGAATTTGACATGATCTAACTTCATTACCATGTAAAGCAAATATGTTTAGTCATTGGGGAAATTTCTGGAGTGGCCTTCAATTTGTCTTCGTTATACCCTTTCTATTTAATTCAAGTGGCATGAGTTGTGAATCACAAGTAGCTCAAATATTCAAATGAAGCATAATTAATGATGTGGTTCTCCAAACATTACACTAAAGACTAAGTTATTTTTGTTTCATAATTCCCTTATTAAGATTCCATCTTTAAAAATCACAGAGTGAGCCTAATAATTCCTAGTTACCCCCTACATTTTCCTCTAATTTTGTTGTCTGCTGGCATGTACTTGCCGAAAAATGGTACCTTTCAAGCAACAGTGTCTACTATGCAGAAAATCTTGGAGATTTCAAACTGCTGCTTTTCTTCCCAGCAAAGCTCAAGCTTTGGGTTTAGGCAAAAACACAAGACTATCCCAAGTAGGCAGATGTGTGCCAGTCTGCTAAACACTGAATGTGTCCCCTTCCTGGCTGACTCTGTCTGTTTGAGAAGGATTAAAAGGGAAGGGGTGATGTCCAGGAAGAAAACTCTTGCTAGTGCTTTTGACACCTCAGGTCACTGCACAGAAACATTCTACCTTGAAGCTTCAAAACACAGCTGCGTAATGAAATGGTTACTCATACTCATTACCTGCCGTGGAGTCCAATCATGATTTAATAGCTAAGTGTCTTATGATTTCACCTACACAACGAGGCAAAGTCAACCTGCCTTGCAGGCATGGGTTTAGCATCACCCTTTCATAGTGAAGAGTCCTGGCGATGAGTCACATGACCAGGCAACCTTTGCAATCCAGACTTTGTCCTGAAGCCCTGAAGCAGTGCTACCGTTCATTACTGTTCTGTGCAACTGCAGCAAGTGTTACCCAACAAGCCCCTGACTTTTCAAACGTTCGTTTGGTTTTTGGTAACAAAAAAAGGGAAAGAAAAAAAGCTGAGCGCAGGCTGATTACTCCACTTCTCTGAAGGACTCGTGTGCATTTACTTATTCTCTTATCTGACACTGAGCAATCAGCTTCTAAATACGTGACTGCAAAGGTTTTCCTTGAACACTTTCTCCTGCGTATGTAAGAAGCTGTAGATAGGAACATTGGGCAGGTGCCCCACACCTTGCTCCGTGTGTGCTATGCAGCACGTGGGAAAGTGTGGTGTCCTCCAACTCTGAGCTCCCATTCCAGTCGGCCACCAGATTTCTTAAACCTGCAGTGCCTGAACAGGGCAACTTTCAGCAATTTCCATACTTAAACTTTCCAAAAGTTCCATCGCCCCACCCAGCGTCCCAGCCAGAGTGCAAGTTTTCCTAAATTAGTGAAAGAGGAAACACACCCCGATACTTAAGCTCCAAGATGACAACTGAAAGCAAATGTCAAGGACACAACACATTTGGGAGAAGCGGCGGTGGGGGGTGGGGGGGCACAGGAAAGGGGTTGGAGGGGGTGGTCTGGGGTGGTTTAGGAGAGGGGGGACCATGCATAAGGTCCAGAGAAGCTTCCCCACTTCTTCACTGGGAGACCTGGCCTCTCCAAGACAGCAAAGAATGTGAGGGATAGAGCTTCCCAAACAAAGGCGAGCCTCAGATCCAAAACAATGATGAAACACAGTTCGGAAAAAGAACCCGGGTTTTAGCCTTGGTCGTGTCACTGACTGGGAGCGCAGCTTTGGGTGAGTTCTGTAATCGTGCTGAACTTGAGTTACTACTGAACGCCAGAAACCGTCCCCTGCAGAGCTGCCGTGCCACTTCCCCTGGGCTAGGACTCCCGGTGTGTTCTGTGCTTGTCACTGCTCAGAGTTAAAACTCTGGAAAAGGCCCCTCCCTGGGCTTCCTCAGCTCCTGTCCAAGAGAGGAAGGGGCCTCCCTCCATCTCTGAAAAACAAAAGGGCTTCCCCCAGATTCTCAAAGCCACCGAACCAGGGTTACTTCTTTATGCGTTCGCCTCCTCCTCAGCTGCGAAGTCCCACTGCACCTCCCTCCCCATCTCACTGGGCCTCCTTCCCTCCTCCCAAACTTTGGCAGGCAAGTGGAAAGTTGGAGGACAAGGCAGATCAGGCCGAGAGCAGGGTCCGGTCGCTTGGCGCCTACCTGCGATGTCCCACAGCTGCAGGCGCACCAGCGTCCTACTGTCCCAGTTGAGCACTTTGAGGGCGAAGTCCACCCCGATGGTGGCCCGGTAGTGCTGGGAGAAGAGCTGGTGGACGTAGCGCTTGATGATGCTGGTCTTGCCCACGCCGAGCTCGCCGATGACCAGCACCTTGAAGAGGTGCTCGCGGGTCTCAGGCGCCCCGGCGGCGGCGGCGGGGGTGGCCGCAGCCCCCCGGCTGGGGTCCCCGGCGCCCCCGCCCGCCATGCGCGCCGCGGCTCTGGGGCGCACTGGGGCTCCGCGCCCGGCCCTCGCCCAGACGCGCGCAGTCCCGCCTCGCTCTGGGGGCCTCCCGAACCCGCCCCCCGGGGGGCCCCCGGAAACTTCCCAGAGGCCGACCCGCCCTGCGCCGCCGCGCCGGCCGGCCGGCGCCGCCTGATGGGTCACAGGACCGGAACGGCGGCGCTCGCGGCGGGGCGGGGCGGGGCGGGCCGAGGGAGGGCCTGGCCGCGCGGGCTGCTGCCCGCTGGGAGGGCCTCGGGACACTTCCTCCGGGCGGACGGGGGCCGGGTCGCGTAGGGGAGCGGGCGGCGGGCCCCCGGAGACCGGGCTGGGAGTGGCCCCCGGTAGGCCTGAGACGGTCCAGAGGTCCCGGAGCCGGCTGTGGGGGGTGGCGCAAGGGCCTGGCAGTGCTTGGTCAGAGGGGGCGGCCCCGGCCTGGAAGGGGGATGGCCAGGGAAGAAAGGGCCTTCTTATCTGCTCCGCCCAGAGGGAGTGCAACACCCAGAACACTTTCAGTGGTCTCCAGTAGCACTCTCTGGAGGAAGTGAGTGGCGGTTGCAGAAAAACTGAACGCATCCCAGCGCCGATGAGGTTGGGTCATTGGGAGTTCCAGCGGTTTTCTGAGGAAAGTTTTCCTGCCTGTACAATCAAGAGTGTGCAAGGTGTACGTGTTTTAGATACTAGCTGCCCTAACAAGGGTGACCATCCTGGTTTTGGTTTGCATTTCCCTGTGCTTGGAGAAGTTGAGCTCCTTTTCTCATATCTGTGGGTCATTTGTAAGTCCTATTTGGAAACATGCCCTTTCATGTTCTTGGCCATTTTCTCATTAGGCATTTCGGTGTTTCTGAAGTTCAGTTGTGTATTTCTGTTATACTTTAGGTATTAATCTTTTGTCGGATACGTGGTCACAAGTATTTTTTTCCCCAAACTTTAGGCTGTTGTTTCTTTACTTTGCATAAGCCTTTTAGTTTAATGAAATCTCATTTTCGTCTCTTTTTGCTTTGGTTGCCAGAGCTTTGATGTTATTTTACATAAGATTGTTAAAACTAATGTCAAAATATGATCCAGCAATCACTCTTGTAGATATATGCCCAAAGGAAATGAAATAAGTACTTTGTAGAGGTATATATACTCCCAAATGCATTGAAGTATTATTCATGCTAGCCAAGAAGTGGAAATAATCTCTCTATATGTATTATGTGGAATCTTTAAAAAGTTAATGGAGAATATGTATTATAAAAATTTTACGTAGATTTCAAAATTTTCACACCAAAATTAACACTTGATCCAATTTTGTATAAACTTTAAATACCCTTGTATATACGTATAATGGAATATTAGGCAAATTGTAAAAGTTGATTCTGCCATTGCAAAAACATGAGTGAACCTGGAGGACAATATGCTAATTGAATTAAGCCAAAAACAAACCTACTGATCTCATTTAGGTGGATTCTTTTTTTAAAAAAACAGGTTAATATACATAAAAACAGAGAATAGAAAAATAGTGGGGCTGGTTGTTATAGCTCAAACTGTCATTGCAGGTTTGTGTCCCTGCTGCTCCACTTCTGATTCAGCTCCCTTCTAATGGTCTGGGAAAACCAGCAGAAGATGGCCCAAGTGTTTGGGTCCCTGTCTTAACATGGGAGACCTAATGAAGCCTCTGGCTTTTGGCTTTGGCCTGGTGCAATCCTGGCTATTGTGGCCATCTGGGGAAGTGAAACAGAGGGTGGTAGATCTCTTTCTGCCTGTAACTCTGTGACTTTCAAGTAAATAAATCTTTTTTAAGAAGAAGGAATGATATTTACAAGGACAGAGAGAAAGTGGAGAGATGTAGGTTAAAAAGTTGCAATTATATAGGGTGAATAAATTTAGCAATCAAATATATAGCATGAGGGCTCTATTTTTGTATTGTATACTAGAAATTTGCTGAAAAAGTAGATTTTGATGTTCTTAAAATTATTAAGACCAACCCTGTATGATGATGACTATATTAACCTCCTGAGTTCAGTAATTATTTCATTAAGTATATCAAAACATCATATTGTATAATACAATACAAATAAATAATATACTCATCTATTAAAAATGGATAACTTTATGATTTAAATGGAGTGAGTCTGATAAAGAAAACACAGGGCCTGTAAAGTTAATTTATTTTGTTTCTCTAGCAAGTGAGCATTTCTAAGCCTTCAGCTGTCAGTGTTTAGAAAAGATTTAAGGGCTCAAGGTAAATCCTAGGAAATGGATTAAAAAGTGGAAATATGTGAGCTTTCATTTTGAAGAAGAAACAGGAATATCTGCCTTGCTTTCTGTATCTATAAAACTGAGGAATGCCCACATCCTCTTCCTATCCACAAACACCTGGAGTGACATGCTCTGGCATCTTCCTTAAATAAGCTAAAGCGGCTGCTGCTTACCCTGCCACCCTGCTGTGCTCGCTCTAATTGACAATCATTAAAAGTGGTTTTGAGAGGTGGAGGCGTTTCAAAATTTAGAAGTCAAGGTGGGAGTAAAATCTTTTCTAGAATAGCTATTGAAAAAGCATGGATATGTCTTTAAGGAAGTTTGTGACTAGCACCTGACTTTTATGTTCACACAATTACAGAGCTCTTCCAAAACACCTCCAGCTTAGGAAAAGAGGAATCCCTCCAATGCTTGCAATATGAGCACCATTTTGCTGCATTTGTACATAATATCATGGATTCTTATTGGTCCCTGCTTTAATTTTACTGGATTTCTGCTGACCTTAGGGGAATTTGTGGTGTTAAGAATTACATACTGTCAATGATTTAAAATTCTATGTGGTCGCAGCTGAAGGTAGGATAAGGGGTTTGGACAAATGATCCTCAAATTACAGACAAGGTTAAAGTTTACATCAATAGTTCTCAAATTTGAATGTCAAAACCATGTTACAACAGATTCCTAGATCCATAACTAACAGAGGGATTCTGATTCAGTAGATTTGGGGTAGAGCAAGTCATTTGCTTTTCTGGTAGCTTTCCAGGTGATACTAAAGTAGAAAGTCTAGGAGCAGAGTAGCATGGACCAGAGCTTTCTTCTCAAACATAAAATGCCCTTATTTGTATACCACATTTTTCTTATCTATTTGTCCTACCATAAATATTGGATTGTCCACATCATGACTATTGTGAATAACAGTATGTAACAAACGTGAATGCTAGTACATCTGTGAAATCTTTATTTCAATTCTTTTGTAAAAATACTCAGAAGTGGGCTTTCCGGTAGTTCTTTTGTTATTTGTTAAGGAACTTCTGTACTATTTTCCACAAAGGTTAGACCACTGTGCATTTCCACCATTTCCCATTTCTGCATATCCTCACCAAACCTTGTCTTTTGTTTTTAATCTTCATACAATGGAATATTTGCTGCCCTAAGAAAGAATAAAATTTCACAACATGCAATAGCATGGATGACCTTTGAAAACATGCTAAACTAGGCCAGTCACAGGACAAGTACTGCACGGCTCAAGTAATATGAAGGATATGAAATAGTCAGACAGCTAGAATCAGAAAGGGAAGTGGTGGTTTCCAAGGTCTTGGGGCAGTGGGAAATGGGACTTTACTAATGAGTGTGCATGCATTTCAATTGGTCAAGCTGGGTAAGTTCCAGAGATCTTCTGTACAACAGTGTGCCTGTAGTTAACAATACTTGATTTCGTGTTAAGTGTTCTTACCACAATAAAAGAATGTTTAAGTTAATATGAATTATCGAGAATCATAAAAGTTCAGATTCTGATTCAGTATATTTGGGTAGGGCTTAAAATTCAAAATTTCGAAAAAGCTCCTAGATGATGTAAATACTGCTGATGAATCACATATAAGTTAGCAAGGGTTCAGGTTAGAACTGAGTAGTTCCCATATCAACTGTGTATATGCCTCTCTTGGGGAACCAGCTATTGTAGCCCAAACCTTTAGTCTAATCTGCCAGAGAGCCCAGGAATATGTATTTTAAAACAAATCTCAGAAAGCATGATGTTGAACAAACTTATGTAATAACACGTAAAATAAGTCAGTATTGAACAGTGTCTCTTGTGCATCTCTGAATTGGAGAAGTTTGAAAGGTGGAGAGGAAGAATGGGTGTATTGAAACCATGGGCTGATATTTTAATGGGGCAAGAAGGTTTGTTTCCTTTTCCCTCTAGGCATTAACAGGGAAAACATACAAGTAATCTGAACCTGGTGATTGAATAAATAAGATTGCTTTAATTTTAAATAAACATTTGCAATTATTTCATGCTAGTCCTCATAAAGGATGACCCACTTAGACAGTCATCCTATGATGTTCAACTACACATAGGTTGTGCCTGCTATATCAGCTATCCCCTTTGTGGAATATATCTCAAACCATTACCCTATCCCCACCTCTCCTGAGTAAACTCTCCTCATCCTTCATGTGCTAGACCAAATGCTTCCGTTCCTTTCACTCCTAATTCTTCTGGCAGATAGGCACATTCATTTATTTATTCCAAAGCTTACAATTCTGCCAGGAAACATTCTAGACAATCCAGTACAGTGATGAGTAAGAATAGACAAAAGTTCTTGCTCTCTAGGACTTTGAATTGTAGTGGGAAAAGGATATATAGTTTAAAAGCAATCCAATAAATGAGATAATTTCAGATGATTATAAATTTTATGAAAGATAATATAGGAAAATATCATTTAGTAATGAACTTGAGTGAAGAATAAAAGCTATACTAATTAGCATCAACTCTGAATAGAAAAAATGTCAAAACTAGGTGCTAAGTTTCCTTTGTTGTCCCAAATCAGTTGGTCCAGAACTATTCATTGAAATGACTATTTCTTATACCCCTGCAGTGACTCCATCATTTTAATTCAAGTGCTTCCACAAGAAGATTCTGTTTCTGCACTTTCTTCCTTTATTCTATGTGTCTTTGTTTGCACTAATTCTTAATTACTGCAGCTTCATTGTAGGTCTTCTGAGAAATCAAATCCTCTCGTTCTGAAATTCTGTAAGTTTGCCTTAACCATTCTAGTTCCTTTATATTGCCATATACATTTTAGAATCAGCATCTTGATTTTCACAAACACACCTACTGAACCTTTTGTTGGGATTGCATTTACTCCATAGATGAATTTGATGAGAACTGAAAAGTATTGAATATTCAAAATATCATATATATTGAATATTCGATGAACATCATTGAATATTCAAAAATATCACCATTGTATATCTGTGATTTATGTATGTCTTAATATCTGTCAACAATATGAAAAGATCTTAAAAATTTTGTAGGTAGTGTATAAAATTAAAATTAAATTGATTTATGGGGGCTGTGTTGTAGTACAGGGGGTTAAGCTATTTCCTGTGATTCCAACATTT